TGATCTAAGCAGTCTTCACAAAAGCGGGAGTAGATTATAACCTCCTGACATTGCCTTGTTGGACTTGCCGGTGGCCCCAGATGAGCCCCAGACACCTGTAACTTCTTACAAATAGTGTGACAGGTAAGCCCTTAATGAAACATCAACTCTAAAACCTTGGCAAAGGCCACTTGGCTTTCAAACATTCTTTTGTGTATCAAAGCGTAGGCCTGACGCTTCCAAATGACACATGCTGCAAGATGTTTTTGGTAGGCCTTATGGCAAACCTCTTTGCAACACCTTGGCAAGGAGATCCTCATTCCCTCCAAAATACACAGGCCAATGCATGTGAGCACCGGCTCCCTCCCCTTCCATCTGAAGCATTTAGGATCTCCAAGCTTTGCTTAGGCAGCTCTCTCCATTTGGAAGGCCCTTCTTCCTAGATCCTCTTCTGCATATATGAGATGCAAGGGTCCTTGTCACTCTACTATGAGTAGAAGGACATTAGGCCATCATGCTGTGCCTTAAGATGTGATTCTTGTCCACATTCCGATAGAGCACAGCATCTCACTCTTCCTGAAATCTCCCCCGTGGGGTTGGTATGTTAACTCACAAGCATTGTTTTGAGAAGCAAATCAGCAATTATTATTGTGTTAGAGCCGTATATATTAAAGTAGTATCTGGTGTTAGCTATTATTTGAATCTTCCTTAATATTATTATCATTTCTCAAAAGCATTTTCTCAGATGTTGCTTTGTTTCTGGGAGACACTATTTTTGTGAACTTGTGTTGTGTTTTTTTTTTTTTTATAGGAAAGTTTAGTTAATTCTTCTCTTGGCCCAAGTTCAAATAACCTAATTTCCTTTTTATCGGTCCCACTTAGAAACCACAGCCACTGCATGAAATTTGCAGAAACGTGGCAACTGCCCTGTGAAAAGAACACTGGAAGATTGGGGTGGCTCTGAATATCTCCCCTCTGTCAATGTTAGTATTTGATGACCTTGTTTGGTTTTTTTGTGATAGGTTTTTTTTTTTCCATCAGCCTGGGGAAAATAGGGTATAAAGAGGTAAAGCCAGGATGGTTTCTCCAGTAGTCACTAGGGCTAGAGTGGGAACCTGTTCCTACCAAAGGTTCCAAGTTCCACCTCCTATAACAATAACTAGAATATATGTTCTTGCTGTGTACAGACCAATTAAAGTAAACTACAGGATCCACTAGAGGAGAGTGAATCTGGGAACCCACTTATGGCATGGGAACTGAGCAATCAAGCTTTTCACAGTGATTGAAGGTGCAGGTTTAATAATGCCAAGGGGTGGGACAGCCCAGTCTCCCCATGAATTCACTAATTGTGTTTATTTTACACACGGTCTACCTGCGTCTTTGAGGTCTGGGATCATTAAGAAGGAATGACAGTGCTCCTATGCAGAGCAGTTGATCCTGGAGTTCAAGGTCAGAGGGAATTGTGTTAGCAGCATGGCTGATGGAGTCTCAGCTCTTGGAGTCTCAGCTCTTCTAATGGGTTGGCCAGTCCAGAGAAATCCTATGCTGAACACCCAGCAGCACCCATGCCAGCCACCAATCCATGCATCCTACCCCACTGGTGAAAGGGAAATTCCATGTTATCAGTATAATCAGATCACCAAGGGGAAAAAGCTTTTCAAATTAGCAAGAAAATAACTTCTTTTTTTTGAAGAGGGATACAAGGTTCACTTAAATTTGGCTACAGATCACACCTGGGCTACCTGGCCAGGTTGGGGAGCAGGGATACCACCCATGCTGGGGCCCAACACAAGCTGGTGGAGGGATTGCCTTGCATCAGGACTGAAGGCTCACACCAGCCTCACCAAAGTCCTGTATCCAGAATGCATTTTCAAGGGGACTAATCAGGTCTATGACCCAGTTTCTGCCCAAGGAAAAAAAGTCCTACAAGCAGACTGTTCTTGGGGTTCAGCCACTTTGTACACTATTCATTAGCTTTTCACTTTCTGCCTTCTGGAACATCAAGTGTACCTGTGCAAATCCACAGTGCTGGGCACCAGAATGTCTGCACACAGGACACACAGCCATCCCAATTTACAATTAAGTGGCTAGTATTTTATAAGAGAGTAGAATAGAAAGAAATGGGAACCAAAGAACTAATTTGTGTTCTTTTTAATGGAATAGTCAGAAAATCCCCTAGAGAATTTCAAAATAGCCTAGAGACTCATATTTCACACTTAGATAAAATATTCTGTATTCTTTTCATATCTACAATTATGCATTGTTTGTTAATTATTCAATAATCACTAATCACTATGTACCAGACACTTGGTTCAAGGTCTACCTTTCTCTATTAAACTCACGATTGGTTTTACTGTGTTAAGTGGTTTAAATCTGGCTTACACATTATCATAATGATAGAGTATAGAATCATACATGCACATTACCAAGGACATATATGTATGTGTGTGTATGTGTCTGTGTGTGCATATGTGTGTACATGTGTGTGTGTATGTAGTTTTTTACAAAAAAGCAGAGGAACTCACATGCATAAAATTGCAATTCTCATATGCATAACATTGGCAATTGTTTTAGTCATCTTTTTCACTGCTGTAACTAAAAGACCTGACAAGAACAATTTTAGAGAAGGAAAAGTTTATTTGGGATCTCAAAGTTTCAGAAGTCTCAGTCCATAAACAGCTGGTTTCATTCCACAGGGCTTGAGTTGAGGCTGAACATCATGGTGGAAGAGCGTGGTGGAGGGAAGCAGCTCCCATGATGATCAGAGGCAGAGACACAGAGACCCTACTCACCAAATACAAAATGTATACTCTAAAGCCATACCTGCAATGCTCACCTCTTCCAGCCACACCACACCCACCTTCAGTTACCACTCAGTTAATCCCTATCTGGGGATCAAATCACTGATTAGGATTATAACTATCAACCCAATAATTTTTCCTCTAAACCTTCTTGCATTATCTCACACATGAGCTTTCAGAGGACAAACCATAATAGCAATCTCCAATTTGTGTCATTCCATGTTCACTGTCAGTATGCTGTTTACAATATCTACTGTTAATAATAAAGATAATGAATTGTCTCACTATGGCAATATGTCTATATTGATCCTTTCAATAAAAGTTACTATGTACATAATGAGTGTCTAACATAATACCATAAAAGAAATGAAAGCAACTGATCTTCTTGGGAGCCACTGTAAGTACAATCTGCAAATAAAATATTACCACTTCTTAAAAGTTTTTATAAAACTTTTAAGTTTATTTAATTTTAATTTTTTAGCCACTCACCAAATTCAACTGGATGATTAGCAATAGCAATGGGAATACTGTGTTCTGGAACCAGCTCACACTGGCTCACACAAAATGCCTGTTAAACTCCCAGGAATTTTGTAAGCTAATTGTTAAATTCTGACATTATTAAATATCAAATTATTCAAACTTGTAAGTTTGAATTGAATTAAATTAAATGGCACTTGGTGATGTCTTTCATAGTAGAAACTGACTATGTTGGGAGTATTTATATCATAGAAATTAGCAAACATTACAAATCAGAGCCTGATTTGTTGTTTTGTTGAGTGCCTAGACTAAAGAATGTAAAGAAGGAAATTTTAGAATAAAATTAAACTTAAAAGTGTGTTGTGTACATAGCTGTTACATTGTGAAATAGCTCAACAAATTGAGAAGACGTTCTTCCAGTATTCAGAGTTACATCATTGAAGAGCAGACCCTGCAAGTTCCAATATATACATCTTCATTGTTTCATCTTCACCTTATTTGTTGGCATAATTATGAAAACATCAACTAACATTCACGTTAAAGTAACATTTTTACATCAGCTGCAACACTAAGTCAGCTACAGATATGAGATGTCCACGAAAATCAGGGAAATCATTATATGGGAGTTCAATGGTATTCATGATACAAATATATTTATTTTATGTTATTGATAAATAATATAAAATAATGTGCAATATATCTTCATTCAAGGATGATTGGCAATAAAACTATGTATGTATATAGGCATGTGTTTTTGTTCAGAAGAGGTAATTACTAAACATTTACCAATACTCCACTTAGCGAGTGTTTTCATTAATTTTTTCTCTGCATGTCTGAAAATTCTAGTCAATGCAGAGGAGATCTATTTGGTTGGTCATGGTGGCACATGCCTGCAACCCAGAAGGACCCATTTGAGGCTAACCTGAGCTAATTATTGAGACCCTACCTCAAAAATGAAAATAAAAGGCCTGGGAATATGGATCAGTGATAGAGTACCCCTGGAGTCAATCCCCAGTACTGCTACCAAAATAAAAAGGAAATATATTCACTTAAGTATTTTTTCCCAAGACAAGATATGTGGTGTTCATTTATAGAACTCCAATTAAGAAATAAATTCCTTTAGTGATACTTACCAAAATTTAAGCTATACTCAAAATGATTTATATACTACCATTCCAGTATTCTTAGCAAAAAAAAATATATATATATATATATATACATATATATATTATCCACTTTCGTCCATTTAAATTACAGTAGTTCCCCACTCCTCTTATTCATTGTTTTGTTTTCAGGGTTTCAATTACCCAAGGTCAACAGCAATCCAAACTTTGGAGTGGAAAATTCCCAAAATAAATCGTAAGCTTATATTGCATGACACCTGAATAATATAGTGAAAATCATCTCACCCCATACCCTGGGGATGTGAGTCACCCTCTGTCCAGCATATCCATCTTATCATGTATCCACCCACTAGCCACTTAGTAGCTGTCTTGGTTCCAGATCAACTGTCACTAACTCACAGTGCTGTGCTCAAGTAACTCTTATTCTACTTAATAGTAGCTCCAAAGCATAAGGGTTGTGATACTGGCAATTTTACTATGCTAAATGGAAGTCATAAAGTAGTTTTTTAAGTGAAAAGAAGGAAGTACAGAGACATATTTTGAGAAATTTACAAAATTTTTATTACAATATATTTTTTAAAAATCATTCTATGTAATGAATATTTATTGCTGCCAATCTTTTACTATGCTTCATTTATAAACTGAACTTTATTCTAGTCAAGTATGTATAGAAAAAAATACAGTATACAAAAGTGCCCCATACTATCCGTAGTTTCAGGCATCATTAGAGGTCTCAGATTTGATGATGTTACATATCTCATTATTCCATTTACTGTTTAATAAAATTTTATTTTTTTACTTATATTTTTCAAAATTTACTGTGTATGTGTGTGTGTGTGAGAGAGAGAGAGTGTGTGTGTGTGAGGGAGAGAGAGAGTGTGTGTGTGTTTACATAGGCACACCTACACATACTGAATTTTTTCAGAAGAATGAAAGCAAGGATATTCTAACAAGCTCAGTGTCCGGCTTCTTCCCAGAAGTCCAGGCAAGAGAGTCAGCCCAGTGTGGCAGGAAGGTACAAGATTCCAGTCCTGTTACTAGCACCAATCTCAAAGGAGCATTGGCCAAGAAGCTCAGAAGCATATTCCAGAAACAAAGAGACAAAGCTGCAATGAGAGAAACGGTGAAGCGAGGGTGTGCCCAACAAACAGGAGCTGAGTGGGCAGGGCACCTGTTCAAGGAATAACCAGAAGCTAGAGGAGACGACCAAGGTATTCTAATGAGCAAAGCACATCTTGGGGGGCAGATATGTCAGGACAAATCGATTGTGGGAATAAAATTACATTTCTGGGATTTTTGTGTTGTTGTTTCATTTGGAAAAGTGCTTAGCCAGAAGAGGGTCTAATATCATGGAATAACTGAAAGAATGAATAATGTGGGGAGCTGGGGAGTAGGCATAAGGCTTGAAGATTGTATGTTTGGAGAATACATAGAAGGAAGATTTTCTCTGGGCACTGAGTCTAAAGCACCAAGTCTCCAGGCGGGGGTGGGCAAATTCCAGCACAGCTCCTTCCTAATGCAGCCCATCCTCTGGTTCTACAAATTAGATTTTACTGTAACTCAGGTGCTCATGGATGTATTGTGTCTTTTAGCATAATCCCCAGAATTGAATAGTTGTGATGGAGAATGCATGCCCTAAAAAGCCTAAATATTTCCTCTTTGGAACTTTGGGGAAAATGTTTGCTCATCCCTGCCTTCGAAGAATTAATGCAATAGGCAGAATTTCTTCTGATGTTCCTCTCTTTCATATGATTCCACAGAAATAAAGTGATTGAATGATTCATTTTTTCCAACTAATATTTACTGAATGCCTTCTCGATGTTGTTGGGAATAAATAAGATATTGGTACAGCCCCACGTGCTCAGTTCTAGTTGGAGAGAAAATGTCTATCATGATGTTCCATGTCCTGTGAAGGATGAAAACATAAACTCTAAGAAAGCACCCATGGTCAGCATGTGGCTAGAGCAGGGGTCACTGGCAAGGGACGACTCAGGCTTCACAAAGCAGCTTGCTATCCCTCATTGTTCTGCTTCTTTGAAGCAAGAGGGTCCTGTAGCCTCAGAACAGTGGTAAAGGCCTAAGGACGACCCGATGGGCCTCTGCACATGGAGAGAGATTATGATGACAGCAAATGCAACACCCTGTCTCGTTTCTCATTTTGAACAATGACCTTGTTCATATAACCCTTGGTGCCGGGAGAGGTAAGTGACAACCTATTCTGTTAGGTGCATCAGGTTCTGTGCTAAACCCTTCAGGAACATCACTGCATGGAATTCCTGCAGTTCCCCATGCAACAGGACCTATTTTTGTTTGTTTTTGATTTTTTTTTTTAATTTTGTAGTGGGGACATGGAGGCCTGGAGCCATAATAGCGACTTAAAAACATTCCCCAGTAACAAGTAGTAGAGGGAATTTGAGGGTGTTGGGTTTCAAAGCAAGCTGTTAGGAATCCTGCTGGATTCTGCAACCTGGAGGGAGGAGAGAGTTTCCAGGAATAGGAGTTGGATGTAGTCAAATGTAGCGAAGTTGAGGAGCACAGTCAACACAGCCTGCCTGTGCCAACCTCGGTGTCACTGATGACCTCAAGCATGGGAAGATGCCTCTCACCTGTTACCTGTCCCGAGGTGCTGCCTTCAACCAGGTGGCTTTGGAGAGTAGGAGTTCCTGGGCCCTGTTTGTCTTCTCTGTGTCAAGTTCAGCCTTCTGGAATAAGAAGTCATAAATGGGCAGCCTGTGCAAAAAAAAAAGGTCTGTATGTTCAGATAACAACTGAGAAAAGATGAGTTACTCAATGTTATTCAAATTCCGTACTTGTAGGACAATGTATGCATTTATTTAGAGCTCCCATTTCTTAATTATGGAGTCACACAGACCAGGCTTCAGGACTGGACTCCATCACTCAATGACTGCTTAAACTGGAGCAAGTGTTGTATCCTCTTAGAACCTCTGCTTCTTAATTTACCCCATAGGGATAACAAGTTCAAATTCCCAGGGTGGTAGGGATAATGCCATGAGGTCATGCTTGTAAAGCAATTTAGTGTGATGCTTGGCATCTAACAGTCTATCAGTAATGCTGTTGTTCCTGTCGTTAATGTTATTAGGATGGATGGAATTGCCAGTGTTGAGAGTACTCAAGGCCAAGTGTCATGACAAGAAATCAGGATACAAGGGTGAGTGTGTCTATGCAGGCAATTCATGCAGGTCAGCAGAGTAGCGGGCAACAGGGGACAGATTAAGGAAGCACAGTTGCCCCTGTTTCTGCTTTTGCTCATTCTCTGCCTCTAGTCACTTGTGTGACTGCAGACCTGACCTACCATGCCAAAACCAGAGATCACATCCACGTGTGAGATCATGTCTACCTCTCCAACAAGTCTCCTCCACCAAAATGTAGCTCAGCTGGCATTCTCACAGATGTTCTGATGGAGAGCACTGGCTGCACAGGCTGCTCCCTCCAAAGCACGTTTCAGCCGTGGAGCTGACCCATGTAAGGATTTCCAATAAGTTGTTTAGCTCACAGAGACCCTGAGAGCAAACATGGTGATCGTTTCCTTTGTATGGCCATCCCAGCTAGAAAGACAAAAGTCTCAACTCCAACAGAGAGACTCCCACGCAAATGCAGAGGGTTTATTTTCATTTCAGCCCAACCATCACTTCTGTCCCCGAGAACCTTCACTTGACCAGCAGATTAAATTATAACTATTAAAGAACTCAATACATTTGGGGCTTTTCTGTTTGTTTAAAATGAAATGTGTAAAATGGGAAGGATAGCAATACTTATCACAGAAAATCCTACAAGAGTAAATTCTAAGTATTCTAAGGATGGCTTGAAGCTGCCTCTAGGAAATTTGCTGTTTAAATAAAATGTATGATTATACTTCTGATGAAGATGAATGCTTGGTGCACATTTATATACCCGTTTGAGGCAATTGCAAACACGACCCTCCAAGAGATACAAAAAGATTCTTAATAGCATGTCCACTCTGTCAAAGAATATGAATCAGTAAAGAGGAATTGGATCAGTTACATCCAAACCATCTATAACCAACAACATATATAAGCAATGTTTTAACGAGCAACATGCTGGTAAAAGTGTAACAATCAGGGCTTTAGGAGTAAGGCAAAGTGAAGCTCTTTTCTGTAATTTTACCCATTTCTGTAATATGAATATTCCCACCAGCACTGAAGCCACTGATCATTGAGTTAGGACCAGTTCTGTATAACTGATGCAAATTATCCCATCAATGACTGAAGCTTCAAGCTCTGCCCTCTCTAAGCTAAGCAGCATGGCAGAATGAAAATACCCTGGAACAGCAGCTGGAAAGCATAGCTGACATCTCAGTTTAGATAGCTGTGAACCCACTTGGGTCACTTATTCTAGCAAACTAAATTTTACATCTAAAAAAATGGTATATAACAGCTATCCTACAATCTCTGTGAGATTGCAATGAAATGAAAATACTTTATTAAGGTAATTTAAAGTGTAAAGCTTTATACTAAGCTTTTTCTCTCATTACTAAGGCTTTTTAAATACCTGGATATATTGTAATTAGGGTGCTTAAAAATCTATAACGTCTGTCTGACACTTAGACAGAAGGTGTTCATTGGGTATCCAGAGCCATGATCTAGCCTACTCTATAATCTAATATGACTCATTAATAAGTCAGGAACCTCATAACAGCATTCATGTCAATGTTTGACTGCTATAATCCTATAGTCCTATCAAATCACAATGGAGCAGAAAAATTCTTCTGTAGTATTTTTACTATCCCTATTCTATGTTTACTTATGTTTAGATACACAAACATTAACCTTTGTGTTACAATACTTGTGTTACAATATTCAGTATAGTAATGGGCCATGCAGATGTGTAACCTAGGAGTAATGGGCTATGCCACATAACTTAGGTGTATGGTAGGCTATCATGTGTGTGTAAGCACACTTTAAGATGTTCACACAATGACTTAATCACCTACCAATGCATATCTCAGAATTTACCCCTGCCATTAAGTGACATATAATAGCAATTTCTCAATGGATCTAGTGTTACTCTAAGAACCCCCACACTCATTAGAATGGAGAGCCTCATGAGAAATGCAGCTAGTGTTATCTCTAAACCTAACTGATCATGGAATAGACCAGTATGACCTTTCTTCTGGAATTAAATTTTGAGAACTGCATATTGTATAAAAACATTGAACTTGGGCTGGGGATGTGGCTCAAGCGGTAACGCACTCGCCTAGCATGCACAGGGCGCTGGGTTCGATCCTCAGCACCACATAAAAATAAAATAAAGATGTTGTGTCCAC